GAAAATAATCCTTGGAGCCATGCTATCTGAGCAAACTATCTGTCCACTTATCTTCTTTAGGCTCTTAGCCAAACAAAATTCCTAATTTTGCCTCCAGAGGTTTTCCAGCGCTGTCCCAAATCTTTTCAGCTTGCAAAAGTAATCCAATTCTAAAATCTTCCCTCCATGAATAAACTTGATGAACAGCAGATTGTCACTGTGCTTGAAAACAGGAAGCAAGCACAAGAGCTTCTGCTTTAGGGAGATAAAGTACTTCCTGCCTCTCCACTTAGTCCAGCTGGTCTTCTATTTCTGAAGATGAAACAGCCTTTCTGCTTTGAGTGGAGCTCTCTTAAGCAGAGGCGCACATACATAAGCACACACACAGAAGTTCTCTGTAAAAATCAGAACTTTTCCATAATTGCCAATTTTGACAGAAGTTGACTTGAGAAAAAAAAAGAAAAGACGTCTGGCAATGTAAAAAACCCTGTTTCAGCAATTTCAGATTTTTTTTTCAATTTCCAAATTACTTTTTGAAAACTTTACATTAGAAGGCCAAAGTCTAAACCAAACATCTTTTTTTTTTTTCTTAAAATCAAAAGTTTAAATTGATCTGAAATCCTGCTTTTAGAAAAAATCACAGAATCAAACTCAAAATGTACTTTGAAGTTACAAAATTCCCTTTGGAAAAGAAATGTCATGGTTCTGAATGATAATTAAATCACTATCATTTTTTTGATCCAATGTTCATGGTGGAATCTTGACACATACTATGCTAACAACATAATCTGCTCATTTTCTTCACCCAAGATGGAGATTACTGTTCAAAATGAAGGTTACAGAAAAAGTTATCAGTAAAAATAGCATTTTCAAGTAGACACAGATATATTCTTCTGACTGGCAGAAGCTGGTTTAATTCATGTCAACCAAAGGAGCCAAGTAGGAACAAGAGTTGCATGCTGAAGAGTATGACTTTACACGAAAAAGTAGCAAAATATGTGTCTATCTCGTCTAGTGGAAGACTTCTTTTGCCCTACAGCATCCTCTGCAGGGTATTTACTTCATCTTTGCAATGCATTCTGGTATTGTACTAGGACACCTAAATATACCAGAGGGACTCTTCAAAGACTGAGTAGCACAGAAAAAATAGAAAGCATTTTAAACATAATTCAAGAAAGTATTCTCATTTCAAATGCTTTTTCAAATTTCTTTCTCGCTCCTCACGAGTTCTGGAAATCTGTGTTAGTGGGTCTTAGTTCTGACACTGAGTTATGCTGTCCTAGATATGGAGCTGTGCTCTCTAATTCAATTTTCCTTTTTGGACTCTACATTCTTACATGCACATACATGCATACGTATGCACACAGAAATACATGCACACAAAGACATTACTTAGATTTAGTGTAGCTTTGTCTTCTCTTGGGTTATGTTCAAAATTATCCTTCTGCATTTTGCTATCCTTACATTAGGACTGCATCCATTACAGATGTGTTGTCAAAGTGCTTAAGCTTCCAGACTCAAATGTACATCTAAGCAAAGAAGAAAAGGAAAAAAATAATTAATGCTGATGTTATAGCACTCACAAAGCTTGGCAAATTCAACAAATTCAGCAAACTGCTATTTCTTGCTCATTGTATGCAGACATAGAAAGAATCTTTGAGAGACAAAGGCAAAAAAAAAATCTGCAAGCTGTGTGAAAGAAGTATTGAGAATTCATCAAAACAAAACAAATAAGGGAAAAAAAAAAAAAAAGAAAGAGAAAAAGAAAAAAGAAAGGAAAAGAAAATACATCATACCTCTTGAGAACTCTGAGATTTAGTTCCCACCCTGAGATGGGATATGTTTGCTGGGTAGGATTGCATTGAAATTCACTTTGTTTTGCATAAAAGTGATGTTATCACTCCTTAGACTGCTATTGTAATCATTCTCACATTTTCTCTGTCATCTTTCATACCAGATCACTTGTGTGGTGTGTTTGATATTGGCTGGCTGCCAAAGGCCCACCCAGCTGCTCTCTCACCTCCACTCCTCAACAGGACGAGGGGAGGGAAAAAAGATGGAAAAGGTCATGGGTTGAAATAAACACAGGGAGATCACTTACACATTACCATCAAGTGCAAAACAGACTT